CCCCAAAACCCCAAAACCCCATAAAACAAAATATTGAATACATGTTGAAAGATATAAATAATCTGATATTTTGTTTGATTATATTATTCAAGAATCGAAATCATTTGCATTTCTTCTAAATTTAAATCTTTGAAAGACTCCTTGAGATTAAACTTTTCTTTCATTAACAAAATCTTAAAATGATTCCTTATAATCAAAGTTATTATTGTTTATTGCCCTTGAACTATTTTCTATTTCCTCTCTATAAGAATCACTAGCATCTTCTATTTTGGTGCTGTTTTCTTGCTAGAAAAATGTAAAGGTTACATTATCTGAGTGGCTAGAAGATTCACCGATCTCCATATTACTTAATTTCCTAAGTTTGCTCTCAATTATAGATCTATAGTTAGAGCTTTATCTTTAAATTGTTTTCTTTTTATCATATTCAATAAGTTCCTACTATATCCTTCTCTTTTTTCTATTTAGCTTAACATTTTTGACATTCCTTATTATAAATCTGATAATGATTAGTAGATTTCCAGATATTATCAAAGTAATGTTGACTATCATAAGTATAAGTACCACAATGCAAACACCCCAACCTGCTTTATAAGCGATAAGCTGGTCATCAACATAATCAGAAAAAAACATAAAGCTATAAACTATGGAAATCACACATATCTCATTGAAAATTTCAATACAGTTCACAACTTTACTGTGATAGGGTTTCATATAAGCTAAAATCATTAAACTTAAAAAAGATTAATTCAAGAGCACAATATATTGATATGTTGATCCATAATATTCAGAGAATATAGCCATAAATCCAAAGACTTATCGCCTAACGATATACCATACTTAATAGTATGTATTAATACTTCTATTTAAGTTTATTCCTAGGTACAGAGACCCTATTTTTTATTAACAAGTCTTTTCTTTCAATTAGTATTTTTTATTCTGAAATATTAAAATCATTATTATTGGAAAAGCCTGAATAATTCCAAAAAAGATTATTGTAAATACTGACTAAAATAACTCTGTTCCCATTTTCCATGAGATCTAAGAATTTAAATCAAATTATAGCCAATTATAATTACATGGAATAAATTAGTAGATGTAGCAAGGAATATCTAAATATATCCTTCGATAAGAAATCTAATAAATAAGTTAAAGAACATTTTCTGCTATAAAATATCTATAAATCTATTCAAACTAAAATTGTTAGCGAAAGCTTATTTGTTTACTAGCATATATTTGATAATTTGATTGGATACAATAGCAAAACTGTCACTGTAGCAATAGCTATTAGCATTAAATAAATAAACATCGAACCCATTGTTTCGATAGCATTTGTACTTTAATAACTTGAAAAGTTTAGAAATATGCCAACCCTTTTAAAATTGATAATCAAAAGATATCTATTTCTAGGAATCTATCATTATATGCTCCAGTTAAAGGGAAACTGAAAAAATAATTTAAAATAGTCTCTTCTGGTAGAATATCTAGTTGAGATATTGAAATAATCTATCCAAATACAAACTTTGTATTGGATGGAAATTTAACATCCATCAAAGGCATATGCAAAATAATTTGGAGCGCATTTATCATTCCCCATAGATATTGAAGCGTTGCAGAACTATTTAGAAATCAGTTGGAATTCTACTTGATCACAAGATTACTTACAGAATCATTGTTAGGGCAAAGTTTCCTAATAAAATTTTTTGAAACGCATAAGTTGTATCTTCACTGTACTGCTGCACCATAATAGATGTTCCTAGAAAAATAAGTAGATTTAATTTCTTACTGTCATTTCTAAGTTATTGAGGAACTGTCTTTCTTGTTGTATATAAATACTTAAGGGGCTTTTGATTAAAATTATTGATGAAAAATCCATTCATTATAAAAGTAATTTCAAGAATATCATCCTACATAATATTGTGAATTTCGAACAAATATTTCTAATTTAAACTTGCAATGGGTTTAAAAATGCTTGATAAGCTATAAATACTTACCTCACCTTATGATATTAAGTCTGGATATTAAAATACTAACTTGATCTTCATGTCTTTTTATGTGAATCCAACTGCCTTCCAAGTAAACATTTTTTTATTCGAAGTTTGAGAAGCAATATCTGAAAGTATTCTCTATGAAGATGAGATTATTCCACTCTGGCTAATCAAATTAATCATGATGACATTATCATTGAAATATTCATAACTTGCCGGTATCTCTAGTGTTTTCCCGAATAAAATTGTTACTAAGCCGGTTTAATCTATTTTACTGATTATTGGCTGGAATTAAACATCAAATGTATCTTTATTTATCATTTTCTTTTAAAGTTCAAGGATCTTGCTTGTATAATTAGTATTTGATAATGGACTCATAGAAAAATCTTCTAACTTAAGGTCATTTAAATCTAATGGTTGAGATGTAGTATGATTTGAGGTATTTTGGCTAGAATTTGTGCTTTTATTTGTATTACTGCTAGAATTGGTGATATTCTAAGTTTGATTCATTGATGAGGTTGAAACTATTGTTGCAGTTGGCTGCTTTGTGGTTGATTAAATTTTTTCTTTTACTGTTATACTTAAGTAGTATATGGAGAAAATAGTCTGAATAACTTTATCTCTAATTTTGATTTGGATTAAATGGTTACCCAATTGAGACTACTATGTTGGAATTATCTTGAATGCATTTTAAGAGCTCATAAATTTTATGAAATCAGAATCAGATGAGGAAAAGGTAGCTATAATTGAAAATGCGTTTCCAAGTGGGTTAATGATATTTGGGAGATTATATCGTTTTGTTTAACCAAGATAGGCAGTAACTTATTCTAAATCAGAAACAAATTATGGCTTTTAAAGATTTGGTGCAGGAGTAGTCGTGACTGTCGTAGTCTAGCCTGGCAGAGTCGTTGTTGTTATAATCGGATGAACAAACAACTAAAACTTTCTTGAAGTAGAATCAGCCAAAAGAGCTGGTTATCCGATTACTTTGAATATGTATGTTCCTGCATATAAATTATCTTCTGCCTTTATTTAAAATCTTCTAATTGCTCCGTTAAATTGTACAAATGAAGGAAGCGCTGTATTAGATGGATCTTATGATGTAAACTTTTCAGCAGAATAAGTGAATTCATCTCCAGGGCACTTTGAAGTAAAAGGATCTATAATATAGTCTAATTCTAAATCAACTCCAATATAATAATCTTTGTCACTGATAAAGGAGGATCTAGCTAGAATACACCATTTTGGAGTTTAAAGATTATCAGGATTGTTTGCTTGCAAAACTATTTAGGATGATAATATTAGTTAACCAAAACTGATGCATCCTTGACTATTTAAGAGTAATTATCGTCTACAGGCTGCAGGATTAGGACATTATAAGCACATGTATTAATTATTATCAACTACATATGTCTATGTAATATCAACGAAATTTGGAATGATATTTTCAGGCAAGTTTTCATCAATTTTCAGGCAAGAGTCAGAATCCTTTACTCCCATTACATATGATTTCCTTGCTAGTATATCAGTTGTAAACGAATATGTAATTCCTGAATTAATAATGTTTTAGAAAGAGCCTACAATAAATATTTCTTATGATCCAATTATACTCACATCTCGAATTATAAACCCTCCACTTACAAACCAAATTTAATTTACAATTTTCTGATACGTAACAGTTCCAGTTATAGTGATTCTTACAACTTAGATGGTTTAAGTATCAGTGTCTGTTTTGTGAAAAAGAACTAGCGCTGGATTTGTACCACTAGAATAGATATTCAAGCATTCACCAGTTGTATCAGCCTAGAAGATATAATGCTTTGCAGTTAGAGGCTGCTCTCCATGTAAGCCATAAGTCATATAAAATAATTCTCTCTCATTTTAATTTGCCCCAACGTAATTTTACAGCAAGCCAGAACAGCCAAATATTTATTTCTAGCTTTGATTTGTGTATAAAACTTTTACATAGTATTTTCTATCAGACTATGGACTAAAAAGTAATGTCCAACCAATAGTATCTAGAGTGGATTTTAGCTATTATATAGAAAGATAATGCTAGCTATTATGCTGATAGACACCGGCCCAGAAAAATAGATTTTAGGATCCAGATACAGCAAAAGTTAAAAACATTGATTACTAAATAGTGTCTCTAATTCTTTATGCTTTCATGATTCCATTTACTAGATCGAATCTTATCATACTCTAAATTTAATTTACTTCATCTAGCATTAGTAAGTAAACTCTATTGCCTTTATAAGATAACTCCTGAATATTAAATATATCTGGTGTTGTGAGTGATGATTCCGTATACTATGACAGAATATTTCCTGTAAGAACATCAACTTGTAAAATGACAAAGTTTTATGTTGTTTCAATAGTTGAGACAAATGTATCCTGGAGATTGCTTAATCTGACCATTATTCTAGTAGTAGTGGGTAAGTTAAGAAAAGCATTGGACCAAAAAATAAAGCCCTCATAATTTTAATAGAACACAAATGGTGTGTAATCAATAACTCCTGTTATCACATTATAATCATTTGAAGTTCCAGCAATTATAAATGATTAACCATCAGAGAAGGCATCAATGCTACTAAATTTGGTACTTCCTGAGTTGCCACCATAAACTCTCGGGAAAGGTCAGTTTAAACAAGTATTAATTACTACTTGACTAATAGAAGCTACTCTATAGTTATGTTGTTAAGTTAATGATAAATACATGTAAATCATGGCTAAAGCAGATCTCAGATTACCTAATTATACTCTGAAATATAATACTCGAAAACCCTTAATTGCATTTTGCATCTAATTTGAAAATATTATTAATAATTACAATAATATTCTATTATAATTTGATCATGGGGTTTTGGGGTTTTGGGGTTTTGGGG